ACAAATTTAAGAAAAAATTGCTGGATCGAAGTACTCGATTCCCCAATTAAGATGCACAAATGTACGATACCTCAACTAGCTATGACACTAAAGAGGCGCTAAATAGTTTTCATGCAAAGCAACACCTACTTTGGCATTTCATTGTTCAATTCAGATAGAGAAGAAATCAAGCAAAGGTCTCTTGTATTTCCCCAGGTGGCTTTAAGATGTTTAGGGTTCAGATCCAAACATGCAAGCATTTGCTGACTGATGATCAATGAATGAATGGATAAATGGGTGGTTTGATATCAACAAAGTAAGGCAAGTTTGCAAGTGATTTCAATCATTTTTTTCAAATTTAATCCCTAAATGAATTAAAGCTTAAGTCCTAGAAATATCTGTGGATGGTGAAGAGAATATTATTGAAAAAAATGTAAGAGAGGATGGTTTTCAAGCCAGTTTTAAGATCTGTCTGAGAAATTTTTGTTGTGAATTGGATGAATATTTCCATTTGAATAAAAATGCATCATCCCCAGACATTACAGCATACAAGTTGGACAATTTAAGACATAGGTAAAATTTTAATAAGTATTTTTATTTGGAAATAAATCAGAGGTTGGAGATTAGTGATTTGGAATACATTGAGCCTAGTGAATTGTAGATACTGACTTTAAAAGAGGACAGCATATATAATTTTGAGAAAAAGCTGATGTTTTGACAAGGTAAACAAAAGTCTAGTGAAGTCATTACCACATCAAAAAGTCTCCCTCTCAGAGACAGACACAATAGGATAAACTGGTTCTGAGCAATGTTGTTGGCATGCGGTTTCCTTATTTGAGTTTTATACCCCATTACCGATGCTCCAGATACCCACTGAGTGTCCAGTTAGGGCACAACGAACCAGGAACATTGAAATTAAAAAATGCAATTATGTCATAAAAGTGAGCGGAGAGAAAAAAGAAACAGAAGAAGCTGTCAAAAGGGAGATAAAAGGCATTACTTGGCTGTGTGAAAACCTTATTTCCTACAGAGAGATGGACCCATTGTAAGAGATAAGGAAATGAGATCTCTTTAAATCAAAAAGAATTATCCGTCCTCTTTTGATGCGAAGTAGTGTTTCTGGACTGAAGCAAGAGGTGGGGGAAATTTTCCAGCTATTTTCTTCCCATTCATGAATTCCATAACTGCCCCTTGTAGACCCTTAAATTCTCAAAGAGAGAGCTAAGAAAAAGATGATTTAAAAGTTTCAAATTCAGAACATCGGAAAGTCTATGCAAGTAGAAGCCTTAAAATTTCTAAAATATGCAGATAAGATGAAAATGGCATCTATACGTTCCCTTTTCCTTTGGGAATCAGGTCAAGAATTTTCAGGTGATGCACTGACCTAATCTTCTAAGAAATGAGAACAATAATCAAAGGTTATTATATCACGCTCACTGGCAAAGTTAATTATTCTCTCACAAAATTGAAAAAGTGAGAATGAGACTCATATTGGATTTTCACCCTCCAATATCAATCATCCAAGCAGTTAAAATATGCTATTGTCAGATACCACAGAATTTAAATAATCTGATTTAACTTTTGAAATTTCAAAGGCTCCAACAGAATACAACTAATGAAGCATTTAATACACTCAAAGTAATTGAGGATTTAGTTCTAAAGGATCTATGTCATCAGATATCACCAACTCCTGAAATCCTAAAGTTCAGCAAGGCAGAGACAGTAAATTCTGATAAACTGCTTAATCAAAATAACCACTTAAAATTGAGTAATGAAGTCTTGGGATATAAAAGTCCTTATCTCATAAGCAGTCACTGTAATTAACATTCAGTGAATAAACTATCTTAGTTAAGACTATTGGGGGAAATTTTACAAGTCCCCCAAACATAGATCAAGGGAAAATTGAATACGAGAACTGAAGAAGATCAGCTTTCACCCTGAATGGCCATGAAACGTGAGCACCGCCTACGTGTGAGGTCGTCTCCTCATTGCTGATATTTCAATCTAATGTTCAATGGACTGCAACGCCCATTGCCGGGTAGAAGCTGCATTAGGAAAGGAAGACAGGAAGTCAGAGAACATGTTATGCTTCCCTGGCAGAATCATCTTTGTTAAAGAATGTGAACATCAGTAACAAGCTAAGTAGCAGTTTGGCTGTGGTGGGGTGACATAAGAATGGGAGTCAGTAAACCTGTTTGAACCAAGTTACCTGCTAATGATAATAAGGATTGCTTCCAGGCATTGATATTCATACAGTCTTTACACTTCACAGACATGAAACGTGTCAGGCCTCTGCGCCCAAGCAAGCTAAGCCATCATATCCCCAGTGACCTGGACGTATACATCCAGATGGCCTGAAGCAACTGAAGATCCGCAGAAGTGAAAATAGCTTAACTGATGACATTCCACCATTGTGATTTGTTTCTACTCCACCCTAACTGATCAATGTTCTTTATAATCTCCCCCACCCTTAAGAAGTTTCTTTGTAATTCTCCCCACCCTTAAGAAAGTACTTTGTGAGATCCACCCCCTGCCCCCAAAACATTGCTCTTAACTCCACCACCTATCCCAAAACCTATAAGAACTCATGATAATCCCACCACCCTTGCTGACTCTCTTTTCGGACTCAGCTCACCTGCACCCAGGTGAAAGAAACAGCTTTGTTGCTCAACAAAGCCTGTTTGGGGGTCTCTTCACACGGACACATGAAACAAAAGGCTGGTTCAAAATTTCTAAGGAGCATGGCCTGATGAAGACAAGACTTGAATCTGATATGGCTGCCCCAAACCTGTGGTCATTCTGCCCTTACCCTGTCAAAGGTTTTGACAAGATAATATATGTGAAAGCACATAGTAGGTACTCAATACATGGCAATAATGTGTTTCTTACTTTCATCTTGGTTGTGTAGAAAGTAATTCTGGGGATACTAGGGAAGGAAAGAGAGAGAACAGGAGAGAAAGGCTGTGGTTTTATGCATCTACAAAAACAGAGGAGGATTGACTATAGTTCAAACCCTGCAGGATACAATTTGCAAGTGTTCCTCTTCCTAATCATGCAAACATGGCCAGTGACAGGGTGCCTTGATTAAGTTCTGAGTCTCTGTCCTATGAAGAGGTCAGGTTTTTACCAGGAAGACTGTAGAGCATCATCCTACAGGAGGTGGGAAAGTACAGACATCCTGAACTCCATTCAGCTGTTGAATTGAGAATCCCTGTTTTCCACTGAAATTGAAAACAAACAAAACTCACTGGCTATATAACGCAGCTCTTCAGAAAAGTGATTTGGGAATGGATTTTGGGTTGATTTCCCCCAGAAACTCTCTATTCCTTAGGGATAGTTAGATGAGTTGCAAATACGCTAATCATTCATTCAGTGTTTCAGGATACTGAGATGAGTAGCCTGGTAGTAGCTGAGAAAACTAAGAGTTCCTCTGAATGCTTGATGCTCAAAGGAAAGACACAAGTGAACCTGGTAGATTGAAACAGAATCATCGACTGGCCATTCTCTACAGATGTTTCCATGAAATTCATTACACATTTTTTACCAAATGAAAATGTACAAGAGTTCGAAAATTCATACTTTCCTTACACAAATATGAAGTTTTCTGATTCTATTATTATCCTAACCAATTATTGTTTATTAGAAGATCCTAAATAGGAAGAGGTAAAATCAAGTGCATTCAACATAATCCACAAAAACATGGGTATGATTATAAGATCAGAAGGAAAAGGAAGGAAAAATACATATGGTTAGGAATGTTCCATGTCACACAAAGAGAAGAGCATACAATGTCCTTCTGTTCCACTGTTTCCTAAATAAAGTAAACTGGTGGCTGACTTGGGCCATATCACTAGTGTGAGATTTCCTTCATATTTCTCTCTGGTCACTATTAGAGCAACGTGCTTGCTATCTTTCTGTGTAGAAGGTAGTTGTGTTTTTCCTAAGACAGTATCTCATTCAGAGTCATTAGCTTTGCTAGCATCCATAATTTAACTATTTTATCCTTAGTTCATACTGGGAAGAATGAACATATGTCAAGCACATAGTGTTAACTTTTAGGACTATTTAAGTTTTTTGTTAATCTCTCAGTTTTCCTTTAGTTTCTTCATCTTATTTATTTACAGCAACTATTGAGAACATACACATTTATTTTTATTTATTTCTGTTCATTCATTACCTTATTACTTTATGCCAGTTCTCATTTATGAATCATTTTATTTTACTTAAACATAATATTGTCAAATTAACTTATTAGTTATTAAAACCTGGATTGCACAAAGCTGAAATCCATTTGGCCAGATGGAACCTTGTGTATTTTATAAATATCAGATAGAATTTACTATGTTGTTTTAAGCTTGCAAATATTTACTCATTACTATTTATATCAGACAGTCAGTATATATTGGCTCTAGCTAAAAACTTTCTTTAAGCGGAACTAGCTTTGCTGATTTAAATGTGAGCTTCCATTGTTTATGGTATGAAGACGACAAGGCACTCGATTGACACGTGCAGTTCTTTTTGACATGTTTTTTCTTGATGTTTTCATTGCAACTTTCAAAATATTCTTTTATTCTCTGGGCAAATCTGACTATACAACTTGTAGGCAAAGCTCTTTCCAGGAAACGTTTTGAACAAGATTGGTTAGATCAAAAAACCCACTTTAGGACAATGTATTTTCCATGCAAGTGTCTGTTTCTCACCATCAACATGATGTATATTATAATTACAGTGACTTTCATTTGACTCATCTCAATTACCAAAATCATAAATTAGATGGAAAGTAGGAACCAATGCATCTGTTGACTTCCTCAGAGTCACACACTGAAGCAGATAAACTGGAAAAGGCAGCTCAGGCTGACAAGTGACACTCAGGACCACCACTCCCCACCTTGGGAATGTCACTGCTACTGGCAGGGAGAAGCCCCGGGCTACTCATTAGGACTCAAGAAAGGCCGGTGCAATGTACCCCATGGCTGAAGGCTCATGTGCTGCCTCCAGGAGCAGCATTAGAAGGGACCTACCACCTCCGCAGGACACGGAGCACTCAGAGCGCACGATGGCCCAAGTGTAGCTGGGCTGGGCAGGGGGTTGCTTCTCGGCCCCCAAGCGAGGCATGGAGTATTCCCAGGCAACACCTGGGTTCCTTCCCTGAAACAGCAGCTACAAAATAAGAAAGGGGAAAAATAAAACAAATTAATGCAAAACCAGCAAATACATGCTAACGTGCTTTAGACTACTTAAAATAACAATCAATCAACAGAAAGTTTATTATGATGATAAAATAAATTCAGACTATCATCCAAACTTTACATAAAATTTTTGAACAAGAATAACCCTCCCATCTAGATTCAAGCTCATCTAAAAAAATGTCTAGACTTTGTACCCTTCTCCTTACAGTTAGTGTATGCCTACATGTAAAACTTCAAACACTTTTGCAGCTTAGAAAAAGCATTTTTAGGTTATCATTTTTTCATTGATACATAATAGATACACATATATTGGGGGTACATGTGATAATCTGATACAGCCTAACAAGAGCATTTGACTATCTCCCTTGGTGTTTCTTTGGGATCCTCTGCAAATCCCTGCATCTGAGCAAATCAGAAAGAGAGACCTACAAAGCGTCGTCACGCTTCCTGGTGAGTTCAAATAACCCAGGACATTTCAACAGCAATAGGTATGATCCATGCCTGACCAAAGTTAAGTTAGAGCACTTTCTACTGGGAGAGATGAAGGAGACTTTTGCCTACTGGCAGGTACCTGTTAAGTCCACGGGAAAAGGTGTTTTATTAGTAAAGGAGATCACTGAGTCATAGTTTAGGGCATGGAATGGGTTTGGACTCTACATTTCCTAGCTTGAAACCCAATCATATGGACAAGCCACCATTCCTCGCATAAATGTATTAGATCTTTGAATCTCAGTTAGAAGACTTTTCTAGAAAACTCACCATAACCTGTTGACATAAATCTCATGCCTGCACCTGAGAGTCATGGCATCCTGATATGATGCCCATGTAGACCAAGATCCTCACCCTCCCCTGAGCACCCTGGCCCCATGCTCCACCCTCTGCCTGATGACACAGCTCCAGTCTCAGTGGTGCTGATGTTGTGGGACAGGTACATGCCCAGGACAGGGGGTTGCACTGCAAGGTCATTGAGATACTCTCCAGCCCTGACATTCTGATCCTCTGCAACTCTTCTTTCATTAAGAACAGTTTCCTAACAAGCCCCACTTATTTTCAACCCGGAGGCATCTCTCTTTCTCTCTTTCTCTCTGGTTGTTAAAGCTAAAAGCCTTAGATGGTGGGAGACATGATCAAGGAAAGAATTCAAGATAAATACGTTTAGAAAGGGGTAGAATGAAAGAGTTCAGGGGCAGAACAGGAGAGGGAAGTAGGACCTGTGCAGATGCAGCAGTTGCTCCACCTAAACCACACCCCGACTGCCAGGGGAGGCATCTCCCAGGAAGACACAAGAGGATGAGATAGAGTGGCCAGCCCCAGGGAATAGGTGGGGGTATCCAGGTGGCTGTACCTCCATAGCAAGGTGTAGGTCAATGGGGCAACTTTTGAACCAAGAACCTTCTTTCAACTGTGCACAGAAACATAACAAGGTGGGGAGTTAGAACATCCACTGCCCACCACTGCCATCTGCACAGTTGCATGTGATAGATGGTGTTGTCAGAATCTGACTATATTTTGCGAGCCTCTGCATTCACGAGTAAACAGAACTGCTCGGTTCAGGAGGTGACCCACCCACTGGACGCTGGGTTGATGTGACGGCAGAGATGTGGCCAGCCAAGGTCGATGCTGTGACACAGGCAGGTCATCACATAGCAAGGGGATTCGCTTCTGGGCTCTCTTCTCCTTTTGCCACAGAACACAGCAGAAATGCTGATCCCACCCTAGACACAGGCGAAGTCAGAGCCCACCTCCCTCCCTCAACAGTGGCCACTTCTCACAGCCATCGAGCTTATAGGACAGAAGAAGGCTTCTGCAAACATCTACTGCTAAAACTCCCAAATGGGAACACAGGTGAGCACTTAAATACAAATGTAATCATACAACAAAATGTGAATGATGATAAAAACAAGTCTGCTGCCCCATTCCAGCTACGGATGGATCACTCTTTTTTATAACTGTTTACATTCCTCTTAAAATTATGCCAACAGCCATGAATTTCCACAAATACCAGAACACCCCCAAAATCTAAGCCCCAAAACCAAGAGGCTGGACTTTACCTCCACAATCAGTGTTTCATTGGTTGGTCCAGCAGCGATTAAGTTCTCGGGCTCATTATAGGACCGTCTGTAGTCGAAAGTAGTGCCTGAAAATTTGTACCGGCCGGGCCAGTCCACGGTCCAGTGCCCATTCAAGTAGTACCTTCTGAGGGCATTGCACACAGAAATGTAGGAGGTAGAGACATTCATTTCATAGATGCGGATACTCCGGGCTCCAGAAGGAATGGTGACCATGTGATAATACTCTAGATAAAGGAAATGGGGAAGATACAGCTTGTCATTCCATAGGGCAGAATCTCGAAGCAATCCCAGTCCTCAGTAAACGAAACCTGAGAATCCACATTTGGAACTGGGGGAAGATGTGTTCTGGTGACCAGTCACCTTAGAACTATACTCAACTGCTTTTTATTAATTGGAGCAGAGCTCCTGTGATGTTCACTCTTCTTAAGAACAATTTTATTTCAAATAACTTAGCAACCACTTCCAATCAAAGCAAGAGGCTCGAGAAGCCAAGCGCTAGCTGAGGCAGGAAGTGAGGCAGTGGAAGGTAGGCCTGCTATTTTCACTGTCGCCTCAAGCTCCTCTGCTAGGAAGCCTCAGTTACAATCTTCTTTGCCCAAGGCTTGCAGGTAGCTCTAAAGTACTCACGGTTGGTGTGGTGGTGCTTGGAGTAGAGACCCCTGTGAATCGTGCAGGCTGAGTTATTCCCGTTACACACCCCACACACATCTTCAACAGCATCAGATCCAAGGACATTGTCACATCCAACTCTCTGGAGGGCCCACGAGGTCACATGTCATTCATGAAAGAAAGGACAACACAGCAATACTGTCACCAATCTCACGCGAGAAACCTCCTCCCCACTAGAGTTGAAAATTTCACCAACGTAGGGTAGTTAACAAATATTTATTGGATACCTAATATGTGCACAGCGGGGCTACAGTGTCACCCTTCAAAAATGTAGGAAGCTTTTAAAATGTGAACCGTCACCTGTCTTCTTTAGTATTGTTACACAAGTGGCCCTAAATTAAATCTATAGGTTGTCATGTTGGAGTGAGGGGTGAGTTTCAGACTGACCTAAAGGGCTTAGTACAATGACAAGCAATGTGTCTACACAAGGTTCTAACAAAATATGCCATTGTGGGCTTTAATTGTCTCATGCAATGACAGAGAAGGAGCAGATGACACACAGAAATTCTCCTCAGTAGTAATTACATAAAGGGCATGTTTATTCACTTCCTTAGAATTTTAGGAGCTCTTTAAAATTTCTCTGATGTTCGTTTGTATTACACTTTCTAACAAAGAGAATAGGCTCTATATGTCAAAAAAAAAAATCCACTCAGAAGCAAAATAACTACAATTCTTGGCTTGAAATCCACAGGGCCAGATGCATTTCAGAACTTAGAGTGTTTTTTTAAATTCAGAAAGGTAATAGATGTTATGTATGTAATGCATATGAGAATCCCACAAGGGCCTAGGTGGCATCCCATAATTAACTCATGAATGTTTCTATAGTAAAGCCCTACATATTTATAGTAAGTGAGATAAATAAAACCAATCAATAGTCTCATATCAGTTCAGGAAAGGCTTTGCCACCAAACAAATTCAGGTACCCCCCCCATTTTCACAGCTTTTTGGATTTCAGAGTTACAAATAAGGGATTATGACACTATATCATTAAGAATCCTAAATACAATAAAATAATGAACACATCAATTAACAATTAGACAAAATTGAGGACTGTACAGCTGAGGTACAATGAAAGAGATCTTAATGGAATCATCCAGCCTAACTCTCATGTATTAAAAATGATTACACTAAGGATCTCAGTAGATGACTGAACTTTACCATGGTCGATAATTTAGGGGAAGTGAGAACTAGAAAACATGTTTTTGGACTCCATAAGATATGCAGATTGAATAACTTCTTCATTTGAAACCCCATTGCCTACATGCAATGTGTTTGATCTGCTAACACCTTTGCTTGGTTTATAATAACATTTTTTCCACCCCTTCCCTCTGCCAGTCAGGGTAAGGGTAACATCAGTCACTTATGTTCATTTAGCTGCCGACACTTCCCCAGCTTGTCTCCTGCGTCCCTGTCCGCCCGCCCTCCTCAGCGAATGTGTAGCTGCTGTATGTTGCTGAGGCCTCTGTCCGAGCTGCAAAGTGGCCCAGGCTCTCACCCAGCCCTGCTTCACTGACTCTCCACACTACTGCCCACAAACCGCAACCGAATCCTGTGGCTCCACTGTTCCCAGACTCAATACCTGCTCTATGTACATGGGCACAGGATCCCCATCCAGCCCTGGAGATGGCCTTGAAGACTCTCTTCTCACCCCAACCTTTCCCACAGCATCCCCCAGTTCCCCACTTTCCCTCTGGGCATTCTGATGACTGAATTGGCTGCTAGCAACCCATGCATCTGGCACCACCACGTCCCCTCTCTATTTTCCTGACATCCCTCTTCCAACTCATCCTTTCAGATCTAGCTTGGATGTGGATGTTCCCTTCTCCTAGGAGCCCCACAAATGTCCCAGACCCACATCTAAGACAGAATGGGCCCCTCCCTCTCGTTATGCTCTGCACACACTTCCACTGCTGCAAAGCAGCGTGTCATCAATGTGTTCTTCTGGCTTTCTCCCCACTGGGCTGTGACTTAGAGGGAAAGGCTTGTCTTATATGTCCGGTCTTTCTAGCCTCTACGGGATGCCTGACACAAAGCAGACTGTCTGGAATCATTTGTTGAATGAATGAAGGATCATGATTACCTCACATATCCCATCTATACAAACATTACGGCTATCCTCCGAGCATGGAGTCCCATCTTTGACTTTATTTGACAAAGAAAAGAAGAAATCAAATCCTTCTGCGATACAGTAGAGTTTGCATAAGTCCTGATCTTAAAAAGAAATACACACACAAACACAAATAAGAAAAATACTTAAGCTCTGATCATTTTTGCTCTGAATTTTAGATAGACTTTCTTTCTTCCCCCATAAAATAACTCCCACACAATAATACATTACAATGGCATTTTTAATGGTTGGCTCATTATGTTTTGTTTTGTTTCTTTAAATTTATTTATTGCTTCACTATTCAGTTTTACTCTATAGTGTCCTTTAAGACCTTTGATTTTTATACAGTGTTTGGCACATAGTAGGCATTCAATAAATATTTGTTGGCTACAACATTAATGTTTTACTGTTTCACTAGTATCATTAACTACTATCTTGTAGAAATGCAAAAAAAAAAATACCATTTTGTAGTAATACACAAAATTCTTACAGATAAAATGTAATAAAAGAATCAAAAACATCACTGAATTTCTTAATGCATTTGGTAAAATACAGGAAAAATTAAACAAATAAAAAGAATAACTTAGATGAAATCTCTTGAGAACAATGTTTTCTACAAATATATTGTTTTAAAATATTGGTACCTAGAGAAATAGGAAGTTTACTTCCTTCCTAAATAATCCATTTCAAGGTTTTTTGGTTTATATTTAATATGAACTTTTTTTTGAAACCATTTTGCCTCTTGTTCTCTTCTTAGTAAAAAAGGAGACAATTAATGATGAACATTTTGTCTGTCTTAGAAATATTTATAGGCCTGAGATTCATCTACAGGTATTTTCCTTATCATTCAAGATAAGAGGCACAACTGAATAATTCTAAGAATCAAATTTAGTGTGTGCTTCCATGATGAATGAGTTTATTCACTAAAGATTGGCAGTCAGGAGGAACGCACACACGTGTTTGAACCATGATTTCAAAGTTCATTCTACCTTTCTCTCTCCCTAGCGGCCTGTATCACACTGGCTTCATTTGTACAGATTCAGGAGTAAAGGGACAACTAAACGTGCTTCGGGGAAATTGCTTGTAATTTCCTTTCAGAATTTTCTAACTGCATGAACCTGACACTGTGAAAACACTGTATACACTGAGATGATGAACGTGAATGTCAGATGGGACATCCCACTTGTCTATGTCCAAAGGGCTTCTGTCATTTTTTTCAGGCAACGTTCCCAGTTTCAAGCAATAAGATGATTAGGTTTTCTTTGAGTTTCTCCTTAATTATGCCACTTGAGCTACTGACCTTAAGTTATTTTAATCACGGAAACACACTTATTTCTTTCCCAGTGGGGAGTAAAGTCTTATACACACCACAAATAAACTTCTTGGTTTATAGTTATAGATCAATACTTTCTGAACATAGTATGCTTCAAAATTATTCCATTTTCTAAAATATACTGAAATTTCTCTTTCATTCTTTGACAATTATAAGTATTCAATGGGTAACTAGCTTATAGCAACAACTACTGTAATTCTTAATTCATCAACTACTGTAATTCTTAATTCAAAAACATACAGATTCAATTTCCACACAGGAGCTATCTTGTATTTTTTTTATCACTTCTTTGATGAGTTTCATTGTACTATGCACACCCTTTCTATGTGCTGTGTTGATTTCTGACCTCACAACTGGTCAAGTTTAGATAAGAGGTCATGACAGTGGGGCTGGCAAAATAAAACTAACCTCCAGAAGAGAACATGTGACCCTCACCTCCCAGAGCGACATCTGGTTTATTTGTGCACCACACTGTCAATCATGTACTTCTTTAGAAAGTAAAGGTGGTAAAGCACAAGGCTTATTACCCGAAAGCAGTTTGAGATTTACCTTCCACCTGAGTGTAAGGCTTCCACTTGTAGTGCCGCCCTCTGAATCGTCTGCTGTTGTGCTCAGCACACTGAGCGGCGCGGAAGTCAACACTGTCCCGGGGACATTTCTGACTGTTGCAGAGCTTCAGAGTGCGAGTGGAGCCCTCGCAAAACTTCCCTCCATGCGACGGCCTGGAATGCGTATTTTGAAGTCAGAATTTTCATATTTGAGTAGCTACCTAAATTATTTCAAATTAGGCTTATTGGAGAGATGAAGCTAAGAGTGTTAGAGTGGGTACTTAGGGAAAGTAGATTTCTTTTTTTTTTTTGAGACACCCTCACTCTGTTGCCCAGGCTGGAGTGCAGTGGCACAATCTCGGCTCACTGCAACCTCCACCTCCTGGGTTCAAGTGATTCTCCTGCCTCAGCCTCTCGAGTAGCTGGGACTACAGGCATGTGCCACCACGCCCAGCTAATTTTTGTATTTTTCGTAGAGACAAGGTTTCACCATGTTGGCCAGGATGGTCTCGATCTCTTGACTCCATGATCCACCTGCCTCAGCCTCCCAAACAGCTGGGATTACAGGTGGGATCCACTGCGCCCAGCTGGAAAAGTGGATTTCCAAGTGGTCAAGAACACATTCTTGCACACGAATGGTAAGGTTGTGCTCCCTTTTCCACTGAGTGAATCCTTTACTAGACCAGATAATGAAAATGTGGTACATATACACCATGGAATACTATGCAGCCACAAAAAAGGAAGAGATCATGTTGTTTGCAGGAACGTGGATGGAGCCTGGAGGCTATTTCCCTTAATAAACGAATGCAGGGACAGAAAACCAAATACTGCATGTTCTCACTTATAAGGCAGAGCTGAATGATGAGAACACAAGGACATATAAAGCGGAACAACACACGCTGAGGCCTGTTGGAAGGTGGAGGGTGGGAGCAAGAAGAGGACTACAAAAAATAACTAATGAATACTAGGTTTAATCCCTGGGCAATGAAATAATCTGCACAACACACACCCATGACACAAGTTTACCTGTGTAACAAACCTGTACTCTATCCCTGAATTTAAAATGAAAGTTAAATTTAAAAAATAAAAAATCAAAGCCTCTTTACTTCCCCACATTGGTGATGCTTCTCACGTTCATTCTTACTTCTTAGAGAAGCTGGAAATTAAACCACTTGCTGTGAAGGGAAATATATTTGATGGAAAACTAAAAATTTGTTTTTTTCTGCATACAAAAATTATTCTTATTAATCTTATTTGTGTTCTATACACTTTTCTTATGATTTATTTGTTTTAATTAGATCCTTGGTATGTCAAGTAAATGCGGTTAAAATCCAATTCCTGAATATTACTGTTGGTGCTGTTATTTTTTGCTGTGGTCAGGTAGTTAGAAGCATCTTAAGTTATAGCACAGAGAGGCAATTAAGAAATGCTTGAGTGAAATACCTTTCCTACTCAGTGCTTCTTACAATCATATGCATAGCACAGACTTACTATTAAGAGCTGAGACCAGGCGTGATGGCTCATGCCCATGATCCCAGCACTTTGGGAAGTCAAGGTGGGTGGATTACCTGAGGTCAGGAGTTCGAGACCAGACTGACCAACATGGTAAAACTATGTCTCTACTAAAAATACAAAAATTAGCAGGGCGGGTGGTGGCACCTGTAGTCCCAGCTACTCGGGAGGCTGAGGCAGGAGAATAGCTTGAACCCAGGAGGCAGAGGTTGCTGTGAGCCAAGATCACACCACTGTACTCTAGCCAGGACGACAGAGCAAGACTCCATCTCAAAAAAAAAAAAAAGAGAGATTGAGAGAGAGCGAGCTGAGACACAGGCATACTGCTTGGAGGGTTGATGGCATGGAAATTGTCATTTGTGCGGAAGGAGGTCAAGGCATACTTACTTGGGGTTGGTGCAGAGGCGACTCCGATGAGACACTCCCCCTCCGCAGGTCCTGGAGCATGGGGACCAAGAAGACCAGTCTGACCAGTGGCCATGGGTGGGCTTGGGGCCTTCATCACCATATTTCACACACTGTCCTCCCCGGCACCACTAAAATTTTCAACATAAATAAGTTGACTTGACTCAGACAGATAGGTAGATGGGTTTATCTCACCACTGCTATAAGGCTGAGTAGTGGGAAAATTTGCAAACTATGCAGATGTTAGCCTCCCTACCCTCAAGTAGTACCTAATATAAATACAGTACATTCAATGTTGTTTTTTTCCTTTCCAAACCTAGCATCCTCCTATAAATTTATATACAGGGAAGATGAATAGAAAAATCATTTTCAAATGTCTGCTTTCCTGGAAACTTAACACATTTAATGAAGGAGTGTTATCTGAATACTCAGTCTCACTGTTTAACTCCCAAGTCAGCGAACTCTGACCTGTCCTGAAAACAAGGTGCTTTTCACATCTCATGTTCAGAACAGAGAGAGTCTCAGGTAGGAAAGCACAGCTGGGGGCTCCACATGGCTCAACACCTTGTCATTTCAGGCCAGTGCTCTGTGCTTTCACCCCAAAGCACCTGGGCTCAGAGCCTTGGGACGATTACCCAATGCCACGTTAGAGGTCACGCAGCTTCCAGGGCGATGAAGCAATTCTTGTGGAATTTCATCTCTCCCCACGAAGGCTGGAGATGCTATCTGTTCCCCTTTCTCCAGAGAAGTGCTCATTCGTTTTAATTCATGCTAAATTCCACGTAGCAAATTCACTGCACCACATATCAGCGCTATGCACTATTTAACATGGTGTCCAGCAGTGGTGGTTCCCTGGGTGGTTTGGTGTGAACTTCTAAGATCTTAGAGGTCCAGACTGTCTGTTGGGAGGAAGAAGGAAGATGTTTGTCCCTTGTCCTGGCCCCGGTGGAGGGAGAAGAACTTGGCCTGTGGGCTGGGGAGACCTGAAGTCAAGTCCCTTTTTACCTCCAAGTTTAGAGCCACTAGATTTGTACTGAGAGAGAGAGAGAGAGAAAAGGCTACTTCCATAGGAGGAAAGTAATACTTCTATTATTAAATGATGTATTAGGGTAACACATATCAAGACACTGATATTTGACCAGTGTTGCCACATACTATGGCAGTTCAAATGGCTCCATTTAATGCTATTTAAGTAAGAACAATTCAATTTAAAAACAAGAAATTCTGAGGAGTAAAGCCTCATCCATTCAATTCTTCAATTCTTTTCTTTAAGCACAACAACATTGTCTTTTCCATCCCTACCTGCCCTCCCCCCAGGTGTAGACCAAAGTCCACTGTCTTAGGCTCAAGGAGAAGCCCATTGCCGGGAATAGGCTCCTACTCTTAGACAGCCTCCAACAGGCGTGGGGACAGGAGGGAGGTTGCACTGGTTGTGCAGAGAGGAAGGAGCTGCCAGGTGTGTACTACTTGTCATTGTTGTTTATTTTTTTCCCTTTCTTAAAACCATCTGATCATAGCTTTCTAATGCAGGAGACATGAAACATGAAAACAGAATTTCAATAGGTTGAATAACTCTGAAAATATTTCTGGGAAAATCTGTCTTGGTTCGAAGATGAACAGGATTTGAAGCCCCAGAATGAGGTCAGGTTAGTGGAAGACAGGAGTGCTGTCTCGAAAGCAGGATGTTTATCAAAGAATCACTGTTTTTTACCAGGAATCTGTGAGCAAACTCAATGTACATCATACCATCGTTGTTGATTTACTTTGCTGTTGTTACTTGGCAAAGTTCACAGACTCAGAAAGGGGTACTGGCATGGTAATAGCTTTCACTCTTCTGTTTTTGTAAAAAGCTTATTTTTTAATGAAAGCTTTACAGATACACACAAGTAGAGGAAATAGCACAGGAGTCCTTGAAACCTGCGGTCCTGCCTCAACATTTATTAACTCATGTCCAGTCTCATTTCACCTAAATGCCCGTCCACTTTCTCTCTCCCAACACTGACTCCCAGACTTGAAACCATTTCTTCAAAGCTCTTTCATGAAGGGTTCCCCAAATTAAGAATGTTAAAAAACATAACCACAACACCATTGTGATACCTAGAAACCTACAATCAGTCCTTAATATCATCAAATGTCTAGTAAGTGTTCAAAATTCCAATTTGGTGTTTTTTTATTTTTCTTTCAGTTAACATAGAATCACAATCAAAACACGGTTCATTTATTGCATTCAGCCGACATGCTTCTCATGTCTCTCTCCACATTCCAACTCTCCCTTGATGTTTTCTTTTTCCTGAATTCACGTGATAAAGGAATGGATCTGTTTGTTGGGAGTTTCCCATACTCTGGATCTTGCTGGCTGCGTCTCGGGTTCCCTAGATCTGCTGCAATCAGGCAATTGGATCCAAGGCGTTGGTAAGGTTCAGAGTTGGATTTTTGGCAAGACTGAACCATTGATGGCTTTATGTATATGCACACAGAATGCCTGGTAAGGCCTCCAGCGTTGGTGTTAGGATGCTTCAGTATTCGGGGAATACAGGCTGACTGGCGAAGGTCCCCAGCTTCCCAACTAATACTTTTAGCAGCCATTAACAATCATTTCCTAGATCCTTTACATCTTTGAGTGTTGCAAGACTAATGATATTCTAAATCTTTTCTTTTTCATGATTGTCTGGATTACTTCTTTTAAGAAAAAGCAACCTTCATCAAATACCTCGGTACCCTGAGTTTGAGATTGTACAGGAAAACCATGATGCTTCTCTCTAAATGATAAAGAAAAATATGCTAATGTCATGTTTCTTTTGGAAATGTTGCTTGAGCTTCCTCTTGACAGGAGCCAGACATCTTTGGAAGGCTTCTAGCTTTCTGACTCAGCGAGGTATCCCAGGCTCATCTTGTACATTCCTTGTGTGGGGAACGGGTGCTTGGTGTTAAAAAAAAGTCAACACTCACCAAGACAAAGGATCTCTCAGCAAGGCTAGTTTACTTTCTGCAGAAAGGGTACACTGGCCAGCAGTTTTGCCACCAGAGTACACCGAACAAAGGATACAGGGTCATTTATAACCTGACACATCCACCCTACTGCAGTGTCCGGTTTCCGTTGGCTGGAATGGGATCTCACATTCTCTATTTGTCCCAACTGGTTAGCAACTTAGAACTTCTTAAAAGAGGCAAAGGCAGAGGAGAACAAAGGAAGGAGGAAGTAACTGTGGAATGCTGAGAAAGGTAAAAGCGCCTTCAAATAAGGAAGAGGAACAGGCTATGGCCTAATGCTTGCTTGAACCAGTATAAGCATGCCAGGGCAAATACTTAGGCTAAAATGTGGGAGCTAAGAACACAGAGTACATTGATTTCTTTATTACGGCTAGCAGATATCTAAGAATGTTAGCGCGGGTCTTTGAATAAATTGTGCTTCTAAGGGAAGTTACTATTTATTCCTAATTAGATGGGGAGAGAAGTCTCTTTGAAGAGGAACTTCTACTGCACTTTTTACACTTGTTATAGGCCTGGAATCATCCATTTACATAAGAAGTTCTGGCTCCTTTTATTGAGAAAACTAGATTAAGAGGTTGTAGCCTCTTTAAAAATTTTAATTTTAATTTTTTCTTTACATTTTAATTTAATCTTTAAAAATTTTAATTTTAAAGAAAAAATACTTCATTAGTTCTTAGAAATGTATTAATTTTAAATTTATGACTATAAATGTTACTTAACTTCTTTGATTTTATATATGTATCTCTTTTATATATTAAAAATCTTGATTCTTAACAACATAAACACATTTAGTACTTCCTTTATCCTAGCAAAATAAATCCATCAACAATAACGTGATTACTGAAAACAGTTTAAAATTATTTGTAGCATTTTTTTTCTCCACTGAATCTATCCCATTTGGAATGCACAGACTAATTACTGGAGTTTAAAGTCTCTTGAAATAATTCCTCTGTTAGGATTCTGGTTAAGCCAACAACTTAATATATTAAGTCAAAATGTTTCATTCTGCCTTTGATGTTTAGGGATTATTTAATAGCATTTTAAGTTATCTAAAATAATTACAAGCTTTTCAGCATTTAGGGTTTATTCTTTTTAATGTAAGCAAATAGCTATTGATTAGTATTTACTTTTCTTTGATAAATGACAGCATATTACTCAGATGTTTTTCCATCCTACTTTTCCACTTAATTTGTTCTGTACATCATTCCACAGAAGTACATAGACACGACCCTCATCACATTTTTACAGATACATAATATTCCACAGGGTGTTTATCCAACTAGTCCTCTATCGATGGTCATTTGCAGTATTCCAGTTTTTTGCTGTGATAATGACTGTTGCAATTCCTTGTATTAGGCTGATGCAAAAGTAATTGCAGTTTTTGCAATCAAAAGTAATGAGAAAGGAAATAGCAAAATATGCATGTATTAAGTCGACGCAAAAGTCACTTCGGTTTTTACATCTTTTGCTATTTCTGTTAGAGTATACTTAAATGATTTTCCTAATTTTAAAAAGTATTAAAACAAAAAAACTTTGAGAATCTGATGAGAAAGCACTATATCTTTTGCTAAGGGGGTTGTGGGAAATATAGGTGCATGTAGACACACACACACACACACACACACAATATTAGATCTAATTTTAGGCAGATAATAGATGGGTGAAGCCATCAGGTCAAGATTAAGAATGCTATGTTAAATATACATATAGATTTCCACTGAAATACCAATTAGGTTTCTTAGGACTGACTTTATCACAGTTTTGTGTCTTATTGACAGATACTGTGACTTATGAAAAAGGCTTTATCTTAGAGAGGAAGATGCCACAACAAAGTGTCTATGCCTGTGGCGATTGCTGCTCACAAAATAAGCACGTCACACTTAAACGCAGCAGATGCAGGGGAGCAGTGTATTGAAGCAGAAAAAACAGCACTGAGTCATCAAACGCGCATCACAGATCAGCTCTGCGAGCTGTGTGACCTGGGGAAGGCACCCATGTACTCTGAGCCCCGTGTCCTCTTCTGAAATTAGGGATGATAGAAACTACCAGAATGAGTTCAGAGGGAGGGTTCAATGTAAGGACTAGGCCAAGTGCCTAGCACTGGACCTGATGGAATCACACAGTGAGAGCTGGTTTGATTTCACAAGAGGGGTCCTCAGTGACCGAAGAGCTAGAATCCTTCAGGCATGCATCTCAACTGTGGCCCCTGCCCCTTGCCCTGGATTTCTCCTGGGGTGATCACAGAGGAACCCAGGGCCTTTCCCAAAAGAGCTCTGCAATGTCCAGTGGGGACTGCACTAGGCTACCTGTAGGGCTGCTTTGAGGATGAAATATACACAATGCACTAAATTTAGCATTTGGCATTAAAAATGAAATAAATATCAGTCTATGTTACCACCTCATACAACCACTGTGGAGCCTCAGCAGCATCCTTAGTAGCAGAGAGAGGAGACGGGGTCCCATCAAGAAGAACAACATTGGGATACTGACCGCTGGCCACACACACATCTAAACTGATAAACCACAGGGGCACATGCAAACCAATGACAATGACACACAGACACACGACTAATATCAAAAGGGACTGTTTACGTGAGACTTGGATGTCTTACATGGTTTGGCTGTGTCCCTACCCAAATCTCATCTTGACTTGTAGCTACAATTCCCATGCATCATGGGAGGGACCCGGTAGGAGGTAATTGAATCATGGGGGTGGGTCCTTCCCATGGTGTTCTCATGATAGTGAATAAGTCTCATGAGATCTGATAGTTTTATACATGAGAGTTCCCCTACACAAGCTCCCTCCCGCCTGCCGCCATGTAAGATATAACTTTGCTTCTCCTTTGCCTTCTACCATGATTGTGGGGCCTCCCCAGTCATGTAGAACTGTGAGTCCATAAACCTCTTTCCTTTATAAATTATCCAGCCTCAAGTATGTCTTTGTTAGCAGCCTGAGAAAATACAATGTATGAAAGGAAAATAAAATCTCGGAACTTCACACTCACTATACCAAAAGGAAAAGTTCAGCTTGAGAACTGGGTCGTGCAAAAACCACCTCCCATTTTGTTTCTAGAGAGCTGTGAAGATGGAAGGCCACGTGTCTCCACGGGCAGCCTCCCTCACAAATTACTCACAAGGAAATTCTTTGTGGGCCTCCAAATCTTTACCCCAAAACAGAGCTCTGTTGAATTTCACCATGACCATGTGAATTAATGAATTAATTTCACCATGACCATGTGAATTAATTATCTTCACAGATACAGGACAAAGACAAGACTAAAACTTACCTCTCCACCCACCCCAGACAAATGCATATTTGCCTGCTTCCTCAACTCTGTTTTCTTTATCCTCACAAATCCTCAATCTCCACTCACATGTAAAATGTGGATTCAGTGAGTGTTGACTGAAGCTTCAAAAGAATGTACCTGCTGGCCTCATTTGCCTACTCTCCCCTCTTTTCTTCTTTCCTGCTTTCCTTGCTTCTCTTTCCTTTGTTTTTGTTTTTGTTTTTTCTTGTTTTTGCTTTTGTTTTTGTTTTTGTTTTTGTTTTGAGACCAACTCTCCTTCTGTTGCCCAAGCTGGATTGCAGTGGCATGATCTTGGCTCACTGCAACCTCCATCTCTGGGTTCAAGCGATTCTCCTGCCTCAGCCTCCCGAGTAACTGGGACTACAGGCGCCTGCCACCGGGCCCAGCTATTTTTTGTACTTTTAGTAGAGACAGGGTTTCACCATGTTGGCCAGGATGGTCTCGATCTCTTTACCTCATGATCCGCCCGCCTCAGCTTCCCAAAGTGTTGGGATTACAGGTGTGAGTCACCAGGCCTGGCCTCTTTCCTCTTTAAATATTGAAGTCATCAAAGTCCTCTTTGGAAAGAGCAGGGGTCACAGGTGCCCCTGTGATTTTTGTCCCACCCCCTCCTAGAGCACATCCTCAACTTTGGAAAAGTAAACCTCTACATTCATTGAGATTTGCCTCAGTTATTTGCTTTGACTTACAGAGTCCCACATTGGCTACTGAACAACCAAGTACCCTGGACAGAACACTTTACTGCTTTGGACCATGGTTCAGCTGTGTAATTTGTAGGAACCTACTCTATGTCAATAGAGCCTTTTTTTTTTTTTTTTTTCAGTAAAAAGGAAAAAGCTATATTTGAAATACAAGGGAAAATAATGTCAAATATCAATGGAAATTAATTTAATGGTGCTTTTGAGATAAATAAAATGTAACCAGAACATACAGGTTATTTTGAAAGAGCATCACAACTACATTACCTGGGAAAAAGTAGCACCTGACCACAAACAAAGCAGGATGCCTGGAGAACCACCTCCTGTTTCATGCAGGCAATAGCTCAAGGGCAACGTCAAAAAGGCTGTTGGTCTTTTAAGAAATAGGCATAATTTTGCAAATGACCACGTGAGGAATCCATTTTAATCAATGACAGAAGAAAAGTCATGATTATCTGCAGCATAACATTCAAGTAAATTACCTGATGTCCTTTGACAATTAGAACTTCCACGCTATATCTCATTATACTCATTTTCTTTCAAGAAACCGAAAGCATTGCTATTACATTACGTATTATGGATTAAATCAACTGTATCACTGGATCACTAGCAGAATTCAATGAATTAGAAGAATTCAATGATCAATCTCATGCCCTTTGAGGAACTGAAAAAAAGCATATTAGCAATGTGCCCAGAATGAATGGTGGCTGGGGGCTATTCTCAATAAGTTTATCTTATTTCTGTTCATTTCTTCAGTTGGCACTGCAATAATTTAACCTGAAAACATGTGTTAGCGTTGTTGTCAACATTTTAAAACCTTTCTGTCTGTAGTTACATTTGAATATGTATAAGATGTGATGTATTTTGTTTGGTATTTAAACATAATAGAACAATGGTATTTAGGCATGTTCAAATACTGTACTAGATCAATGCCTAAATATCATTTCATATTCACTAATGCCACTAAAAAACTCAGATACATAAAAAGCAAAAATACTTATAGTGATAATTTGGGTCCAGGATCTTTCTTTCTTCATCAATAGTCTTTTACATTTAAAAAATGCAATTACAAGTTAAATCAAAAGAATTAAAATATTATTATGGAGTATTATGATAATCTTTTAAAGTTTTAATAATGAAATTATCATTCTTTACCATTTAGTAATAAACTTGTTATCCTGTATACTTTCTTTTTTTTTCCGACTTTTATTTTAGGTTCAGGGGTACATGTGCAGATTTGTTACATGGGGAGGTTACATGTCACTAAAGTTTGGCGCTCGAATAACTTCATCACCCGTGCGGCGAGTATAATATGGGATACTTTTTCAACTCTTGCCCCCTCCCACCATCCCCCCTCAAGTAGTCCCCGGGGAATATGGTTCCCATCTTTGTGTCCACGTGTACTCAGTGTTTAGCTCCTGCTTATAAGTAGCAACATGCAATATTTGGTTTACTGTTCCCGCATTAGTTTGCCTAGGGTAATGAACGGCCTCCAACTCCGTCCACATTGCTGCAACATCTTGTATACTTCTTCTTTTCTCTACTATAGCGCCCTCTCTTCTCACAGGGGCAACAATAGGTGAAAATGATGTGCTCCAGGGTCTTCAAACTGATGTTCTGTGACTTTCACAGCACTGTTTAATGCTGTTCCTTTCCATGATAAATGGTCGTCAATGGCTTAATGTTTCCCTTCAATAGACTGAATCTGTCATCACCTATTGTCTGATTTCTGTGTCTATGAATTCCAGGTAGCTCATCAATTTTATTTTCACAAAAGTGAGAAAAGGATTCCTCTTCACATTATCAATATAAAATAAACACAGTGTTTGATAGGAGCATGGGTATGCATATGTATATGAGAAATACATGTTTTAAAAATACCTATGCAATACGAGTAAAGATGCATGGGTTGGAAGACTAGCATCTGAATACGATGCTGTACCTATAGTTAGCTTCTTACCATGTCATGCCCACAAATAGTGCCTTCTGCTGCTGGCATAAATTTAGTCTCACATTTCCTTCCAATACGATGGCACCACAGGGCTTTACAGATGTCCTAAAGAAATTTTTTAAAAGGTCATTAGGATTACATCATATTGTCCATTCATCTACAATAAAAATATCACTGAGAGATTTAAGGTGAAAACAACAGATATAATTTACAAGCAAATGCCTACTTAGCAATATGATAGCATATAATAGAGTGAGGAGTAAGGAGACTCATGTTCTAGACTTGGTTCAAATTAATTCCATCTCTTATACTTTATTTGTTTTATTTATATATTATCTATTTAACAAAATTATATTTTAATTGTAAAATATGCTTAATTCAGACACTGCAGAAAACTATGAAAATTTAAAAAACCTAAACTTAATATTTCATAATGTATCCTTCTCAACCCCACCTTCCATGAATCTCTCCAAGTCTGAATTCTTATTTTTAAATTAAGAATGTTTAGGATGCTTGTTAGCTTGTCCATCCATCCATCTGTCCATCTATTTATCCATCCATCCATCCATCCATCCATCCATCCATCCATCCATCCATCCATCCATCCATTAATCCATCCATCCATCCATCCAACCATTTCACCATGCATCTACCATCCCCAAATCTGTGATTAAAGCTTAAAATATGTGAGGCATCTTGCCAGGCAAGAGGTTCCATTGTGAATATGACCCTCTTTGCTTCTTCGTTTTCATAGGGTAAAGAAGGAATTTGCCGTAAATCACCAATTAGCGCATACAGAAAGAGATGCCCCAGTGATAAAGATTTATAAACTATAAAAGACTCTCCAAGTGCAAGGAATTGTTTTTACTGAGTTCAGAGGAATGTCTCAATGAAGGGCAAACAGTAGGACTTGTGAAATGATGGAACCTTCTGGAATGCTGGTGGTAGACTCAACTAGAAATGTTGAAAACATTTCTTAAATTGTCTGCACAACTGTTCAGAATATTTAAACAAGTGCTGCATTATTCCCCAATAAATTACATGGCTGCATCTACTGGGTGATTCATGTTATGAGGAAAATGCAGGCAGTGAAGCACATCAACGTAGTGCAGCTGGGAAGATGGCACTTTGCTGCATGGTGATCTCAATCCATATTTCAACCATGTGAAAAGAAGGTTTTCTGCATTGTGTGAGTCATCTCATGAAGGGTTTTAACACTAGTTCTTAAATCTCCTGCATGTATTTCATTATATACTTAGAAGTTAAGGTACTTATTAAAGACACAGCTTCATATTTTCCCTGGCTGTGTCTCCTTCACTAATAAACCAGATTTCTGAGCTTGAAATATTAACAAGTAAACGTTCAGTGTTTTAATTCAGATATCAATTGCTTTCATATTGTGCTATGGTTTAAAATCTCATATGGTTACAATCACTGTGCAATTAAATGTCATGATCTTTTGCGTCCCCTGGGATCCTCGCCCTTGTGGTGTGTTGTGTTGATGGCCAGGGCTTTGCCTGGCTGAGGTCTTTGTCAGCAGGGAACAGACAGTGATGCTCCTATGGCTGCTCCCATGAAGACTGCTGCTGAGCACCCTGGTTTGCTCTCCTTCAGACAGGCTTTAATTATGTTCATTAGTATATGGTGTCAGGGGCCTCTGTTCTTGGCCAGAATGGTGTTTAGAGATAAAAAGTGTATGCAGAAACCAAGGAATCCATGAATTCAAGGACCCTGAATGTAATTCTCCAAATAGACAACTGGACAGTTCTATTTGCTTGCAGGAATGACAACTTGATAGAATGCCAGGATAAAAATAAACTTCCTTAAAACCACAGCCTGTGCACACCGACTCGATGTCTGGGTGGCAATATGATAGGTCAGAACCGGAGCTAGGGAGAGAGGTGGGGCAGCCCCTGGGTGGCTCACAGGGACCTCCTGGACCGACGGGGCATAGAGACCTCCTGCTTCAGGAGGCTGAGCACACATACCTAAGGAATGAATGAATGAGTGTGAAAGCAGATTCCTTCATACTGAATGAATGAATGAATGAATGAATGTGAAAGCAGAAGCTGCTCGTGTGGTTGTGTGATCTGGGAGATGGCCACAATGGTCTAGTAGAGTTTGGGATTCCTAGGCAGACAAGCAGATCCAGTGTAGATTTTGCAGGCAGATCTGGGCAGGCAGGACCCCTGAGTCGTCAGTGTGCACATGAGGATAACAACATCGAATCGTCGACTTGTCCTGGGGGCCAAATGCAGTGGTTATAGGTAATGTGTTCGGCTCAGGGCCTGGCACCCAAAGTAAAGGCACGAAGGCACTTCACATTTCCTTTCTCACTTTAAGGGCTCGAGGAGACAATGGCACAGGTCTCCATCTGCATTCAGGGCTCTGCCGTGTGACTACTGTGACCTTAGGGAGCTAGGGTCCTCATTCACAGGGCTGTTTCTAAGACTACTCAAGATAATACAAGGTAAATTGTGTTTTAAAATGTTAAATTTTTTTACTACGTTCCTTATCATTATCTGGTACAGTGCTTGCTACTCATCTTTCAATAAATGCTTTCTGGGCACATTGAATATGTACTCATTTGCTCCTGTAAAAACCAGTGACAGAGGACCAGGAAAACTTTACGTACAATAACATTAGCAAGAATCAGGAAACTGTGATCATAAAAAGCCAAAGATGACTTAAGATGACCACGATTCAGACTACCATTCAGAGTAATTTCAGAATATTCTTATGTTGTAGTTTTGGGGGAGCATTTTGCAGAATAAATACTGACGAAGATACTGTTAAAGGGATGGGCTTTCAACTTTTTAAAGTATAAAGCCTTCAAATATAGGATGCTGGTGACAGCTCACTGCCAAATCATGTGGCTCTCTAATTCAGTCTGTGACTTGGCTCATGCCATCTCTGTTTTTCAGCCTCATTTTGGAGGCTGCTCAATCCCCAACTCCAGTCCTCAAGGCTGGAATAAATCACAAAGTTAGAAGAAACTTGAAAATCACATAACCTATGGTATTGTCTTTCGACATTTAAAACATCATTTGGGACCTTGATATCCTATAGATGTACTTCCCTGCCATTTAATAAACATGACACTCTGTCCCAGACAAACAAATAAAAACTATAGTGTCTTAAAGAGTTGTGATGACAAAATAAAAATAGTGTACATTCTCACTCACATATGGAAGTGAAAAAATGGATTTCATAATGGTGGAATGATGGTTACCAGAGGCTGAGAAGTGTAGTGGAGGGGGATGGGAGGAATAAAGAGGAGTTGGTTAGTGGGTTCAAAAATACAGTTAGACAAAAGGAATAACACCTAATGTTTAGTAGGACCATAGGGTGACGATAGTTAACAATTTATTGTATATTTCAAAATAACTAGAAGAGTGTGATGTTCCTTACACAAAGAAATGATGAACATTTAAGGTAAGGATATTCCAGTTTCTCCGCTTTGAACATTACACATTATATGCCTGTACTGATATGGGAGGGGGCAGGGAGGTGCTGAGTAGAAAAGGCAGGGTCCCTGGAGAGGACTCCACCCTCAGACCTGTGCCCACAGACCTAAGTGAGAACAGACACTCCTGTTTTCATGCCCAAATGTGACATTTTCCAAGACTACTCTGGCCTGCCATGCCCCTGATCCTGTGCCCACAGAAACCTGAGATCTTAATGGGCACACACAGTGGCTGAACGTGGTCAAGAAAAGCAGAGGAACAGACCAGCAGACACCAGCAGACTGGCAGACCAGTGACGGCGGAAAGATGAATGACGCAGCAAAGGAAGAGAGGAGGGATGTCTGGATGCTAAGGGGAATTCAGCTGGGGGCAGCCAGAGAAGGGTCTGGCCACTGGGCAGCCTGACTCCTGGGGAAGACCATCTTCCCACTCCATCCTGCTCTTCCGGTTCCCCATCTATCTTGCTGAGAGCCACCTCCATCACTCAATAAAACCTCGCACTCATCTTCGAGGCCCCGGGGGTGACCCAATTTTTCCAGTACACTGGGAGAGAGCTTGGGATACAGAAAGCTGTCACACTGGTCCTCTGCCCTTGGAATAAGGCAGAGGGTTTATCGAGCTGGTTAACACAAGTCGTCCACAGATGGCGAAGCTGAAGGAGAGCACGTAACACACGCCCACTTGGGCTTTGGGAGTTCTGGGAGTTGCAGACACCACTCCTAGAGGCGGCCGTGGGGCCGAAGCCCAAGAGTGCTCCCCATAGTCTCTGTACCTGCCTGTCTGCTTGCTCCCCCTAGGGGTTTGAGCAGGGGGGTGCAGAGGAGTGAGCCACAACCCTGTTGCATGTCCTGCAAGAAGGAAAAGGGAACTCTTCTGTTTTAGTATCAATGTATTACAAGTACCCCATAAATATGTGCAACAATTATGTATCCATAAACATTAAATAGAAAAAGTTTTTTAAAAAAGTAAACTACAAATGAACAGCCAAAAACCAATTGTTCCCTCCAACTTTATCAGTTTGACTTAACTGCTAACTTCATGGTACATAACATACCATGATTTTATTAAAGCACTATTGTTGTAGGTCATTATATCCTTAATGAAACTTCAGAGTCTTCTTGGAACAAAGATCCTATTAAACATGGTTCTAGAGTCCAGGCACTTGGAATGTAAGACTTGCTGGGTGTTGGGGGAACTCCCAGTTTAACAACAGTACCTAAGATGCTGAGGTGATCAAATTTCAAAGCAATTCTGGTGACTTATGTTTCAGATTGCAGGGTCAGGCCACCGAAGCAACACTGATAAAGCATGATAGGTACACGATGAAGACAACATGTTTTTAATAACAAATACCTAACTTGGATAGAAAAGAGCCAAACCTATGCAGAGTATTCACTCTTGCTTTATCTTTGCAGCTAAGGTACACTACCTTTAACGAAGCCTCTCTCTTTTCATTCTAGTCCATAATTTAAGAGTTATGTTCACAAAGACCAATTTCAGTAATATAAACTTGGTTAAGGTTTATCATCACAACATAACACCCCAGGTAAAACCAACATTTTCCGATGGCTGGGCTGAAACCGTATTGTGGTGCTTCAATATTGTGAATGGCACACCACCAGATTCACTTCCTCAAAT